CTCATTATTACTCCCATATATGACCTACTGTGTGGAAATATGGGGTAACGCCTGTAAATCAAACACACTCCCTGTCTTAAAACTACAGAAAAAAGCAATCAGAATAATCAATTGGTCTAAATATATCGAACCCACAAATCCACTATTCATCAAATCAAATACAATGAAATTCTATGACCTGGTTGACTTCAAAATTGCCCAATTAATGTATAAAGCACATAACAATCTCCTTTGTCAAAATATCCAGAAGCTTTTTGAAATCAGAGATAGTTGTTATAATCTAAGAGGTATTAATCAATACAAAAAATCCAGAACAAGAACAAACATCAAGCAAAGGTGTGTATCAGTAATAGGAGTTAATCTGTGGAATAAGCTTGAGACGGATTTGAAAATGAGTAAATCGTTGGACGAGTTCAAAAACAAATTTAAAAGATTAGTACAAAAAAATACATAAAACAAAGTTAAGAAGATCAATTTTATATACTGGTACTTATAAAATATAGTAATACAATGGTTTGTTCTTGTTCTGGATCAGTAATAGGAGTTAATCTGTGGAATAAGCTTGAGACGGATTTGAAAATGAGTAAATCGTTGGACGAGTTCAAAAACAAATTTAAAAGATTAGTACAAAAAATCTACATAAAACTAAGTTAAGAAGATAAATTTTATATACTGGTACTTATAAAATATAGTAATACAATGGTTTGTTCTTGTTCTGGATTTTGAACAACTTATTGAATGTATTCAAGAAATGCAGTATATATAATGAATATGAGTCATTTGATATAAAAAGTAGAAAGAACAATTATATATATACAAACCGAAAGGTGTATCAATAGATAAGTATAGTTCACAAAAGGGTAAAAGTATTTGATGATATGTTGATTTCTTCCTTTTCTTTGGTATTGGAAATGATCAATACACATTATTGCACAACAAGGGGTAGGACTAGATAAGTTGTATACTTCTCCCTACTCCTTTGAACATATAACTGTGATGATGTTTGTATTACTTGCTTTTATTTTTCCTTTCATAATTTTTGTTTGCATTTTGTCATCTGTTATTGTATGTTTTATATATGTTCAATAAACAAACAAACAAACAAAACAAACAAGAAATCTCATATGTATACATAGATAATAACGAATCATCAATGGTGAATAGACTTTCACTTGTATCGTGCTTTTCTACCTTCAAGTTACTCAAGCATTTCTCTTCTATTATGTTTCTCAGCCAACAGTTTCACCAGCATCTTCAGCCGATATGGCCCCGATCTCCTCTGGTTCATCTACCTGGAGCTCCTCAGGCATTCCCTTTTCCTTTGTCTCAATTGCAACAGGCATTGGCCCTTCCTCCAGTGGTAGTCAGGCAACAGTGGCGTCTGTGCTCACCAGCACTTTACTAGCCGGACTTGGCTTCAGTGGAGGAGTCATTTCCTCCTTTCCTAGCTCACTTTGGACGAGCAGCGCACAATCGCACAATCTCACACCTCAGCCCAATGAGCACGCCATGGCCAGTAATGATGTCAGCACTCCTGTTGTCACAAAATCCTCAGAGAGGGAAAACAGCATGACAGGGAGTGAAGGCAGTGACAATGAGAAGGCTAAAGAGGAGGAAAGTGAAAGGGAAGGAGAGGATGAGGAGGAAGAAGACAAAGAGGACAAAAATCAGAAGAAACAAAAGAAGCGGCCTTTAGAGGTGGTAGAGGAAGGGAGAATGTATGACAGTGTGGCTGGGAATGATCCAGCCTGTGGGAAATCTGACGCTGCTGCAAAAGAAAAAGAAGAGACGGCGCCAGTTCCAACTTATTGGCCACGTGTTGTAGAAGACCTGCGGGTGGTCTACAACTTTGGTCTATTTGTCCATAACCACACCAAGGTCACCATATTCCTGGTTCCTGAGGAGTACTACTTGATGCTTACGCTGCGCAGATTGGAGCTCCGGGAATATCGGACGACCTCCATCCATACCGGTGAGTGGTGATATTTCACTGTCTCACAAACATAAAATAATAATAAAAATGTGTCATCAGCATCTAGACCGTAGTTGTCAAAGTCAAGGCCCGGGGGCCAGATCTGGCCCACCACATCATTTTATGTGGCCCGCGAAAGCAAATCAAGCATGTCAAGTTCCATGATGCTTGCTAAAGTCTGAACCAAAATTTCAAATTGTCATATGTTATCCACAATAACAGTCATTATTCTTTACTTCTGATTTTAAAACTCACTATCCATCAATTTGTTGTGCGCTGTGTATGTAATATGTGGAGGTGATTAAACATTTATATGGTTTCCTAAAGTTCATAACGCAGCCCTCCAAGGGAAACCGTAACAACAACGTGGCCCGTGAGAAAAGTGAGTTTGACACCCCTGATCTAGACAATCGACCACTTGTAGTCAGTCCAATCATCCAATTCCATTCAATATAACTACAACTTTTCCATAGTACTGCATAATCCATGGGTGGGAGATTCATGCTCCAAAGGTGTCATGTGAGGAAATGGAAGGATGTAGAGCCCTACACCAATATGTAATAAAGTGCTACCCGCAGTAGTACTTGAATGGCACTATGCTCATCGTTCCTCTCTTTCACGACTACGCCATTTTAATTCAGCTTTCAACACAGCGATAATATCAATAAACAGTTTAAAAGAGGGCCCTTTTATCTGCACATTGAGTACTTTTACCCTTAAATTTTTTTAGAGACCTCCACACTCATATACTTTGTGATCTAATGACCAGCCATTTGAAATGAAATAATCCAAAGATTGTTTATCAAGTATCTTACTGAGAGGCTAGAAAAAGTTTTGGGCAATTGCAATTTCATTTGGATGTACTGTACATTTTACTGTACTGAATTTATTTATATATACAGTGGAACCTCAAATTACGAATGCCCCTGTTTACAAACAACTCGAGTTTTGCACTAAATGTTGGTACAAAAATGACCTCTATTTATGTAAATGGCAAAATAATAATTAATTTTGACAGAGTAGGTCATCGTATGGGCATAATTGTATATAGTGCATGTAAAGTAATTCATAACTAATAGGCATAGAGGAGATCATTTTCTTTGGCTACTTTCTACTTAACTTACTTATTCACTTATGATTTACTATCTATTGTATATGAGTGAACTTAGTTCAAGTATTAAGTAACTTGTCAATCATGGAGATGGACAGACATGATTCCCATGTTTTTGGCTCAGACACCCTAGTGATCATTGGGGTTAAAAAAAAAGAATGCACAAAACAATTTAATTTAAAAGATGCAAGTGTATAGAATCAAACAGAACCAAATTGTTCCACTTTATTGATTATCATACTGAATCTTTTATTGGGGACATCATTGTTTTAAGAAAATGCCAGATTTATACGAGCTTACTGTCAAGTTCATTCATATTGTAAAATGGCAGCAAGAAACTCATTGCTTCACACTCCCTCTAACTCAGCCGTACAAATATCAAACCAAAACATAATCTCACTGAAACAAAACGAATCAAATTGTTCTGCTTTGAAATAAGCTAGCGGATAATGTGAAATAATAAAAGAAATCAAATAGTGTCCAGTTTTATTACTGCAAGATAATAGAGATGGGTCTCATGATGTGTTTTGTTAAGTTTCATTTTCTTGTGTAGTTGTCTGACTTAAATGTTAGCTTTAGTAGAAAAATAGCACTGGATGGTCTATTTTGCAATGTTAGATAGAGGGCTCATCATCAAAGGTCAGAACCAGGGAAGTGATGATAGATTGCAGTAACGTAAAGTGCCTCTGCTCAGCCAAGACTTTCAGCGGTGCACTGCATTAGCCAAGCAAACACCAAGGGAAAATGAATTCAATTTCATGTGCTTTGAAAGAAGCACAAGACCAGACATTGCTATGAACTCAAGCAATTTTATGACATTCCCCGGAAATAGCTTCCTCGTTCTCTTTGTCAGTGCTTATTTGGTCAATTTGATCCTATTTGATCTGCCAGGACACAAGGTCAAAAGCTTCAACGTTGTTTCACAACTTTCAAGTGGTAACTGTATATGCCGCAGTCATCACATAACCTCTGGGAGTGGATTTTTTTTTCTTTTTTTTTTGAGTTAGACTTCACTTAAGTGTAGGGATGTAATGGAAGTGTCACGTTGCGAGGTGGTGGTGGACCCCAAAAAGCAGGCAAGAGGGAGGAGCAGGGTGTACTTGAAAGATTGCATTAAAACTCAGAAAACTAAATCCTAAACAAAGTCCTGGAAACAAAAAGAATCCAAAGTAGCAAACAAAACCATCAATAACAGAAACATGACCTAAACATGACAAACAAACAAACCTGACATCAGCAAAGGAACAGCAACAAACAAACATGACAGTAGCCAAGAGCAAACAATGACCCGACACTGAGTGTTCGGGCTGGGAGTCCTTTTAAAGCATTAATTACATAATGACCAACAGGTGTGCAGCTGCAGGGAGAGCCCTACAGTGCCACCTGTTGGTCCCAAACCGAATCATGACAGGAAGCCCTGGTCAACCATAGCATTCAAGCTAACATCATAACCTGCCAGTAAATGATTCAGTGGAAACGTTGATGTAATTTGTTTACACATTAACATTTGAGGCAGCAGTGTGTATTGATGACTCTTGTTCAAAAATAGGCCTGGGCATTCTGCAATAAAGTTCTCTACCGCTGCAAACTCAATTCACAGTAATTAAAATTGTTAAATAATTCAATAAACAGCGTTGTTTTTGAAAATGAGTCATTTTGATAGTGACATTCTATTCAGTTCACCAGTTATTTGTAGTATATTCTTCATCTTTTGTCTTCATAGGATTGTTTACACTAAACTGCGTGCAGTGGATTGTTGAAGCAATCTAAACATGAAAGGACACTAACGCAGGACACTGATTCCTACGCTAATAATAACCGATGAGGATAATAAGTTCAAGCTCAACTTCATTGTCAAACCAGCTTCTCTCCCTATTTCCGTCCTGTTCACCATACTTGCCTCTTTTACTTCCCTCGTTTCTTACCTACACCCTCCTCCTCTTTTTTGCAAATCCTCTTTTTTTTCACCATCTCTCCTCTCTCATGCTCCACCACCCCCTCAACTTCTTTGTATGTCCCTCCTTTCTGGCTCAGATCTTAGCGTTGGCCTACTTTCACACATGGGGAGAGGAGAAGAAGCTCCGAGGCTTGATTCAGTTGTTGGAGGGGAAACGGCCTTGCTCCATTTATAGCTACATTTCCCTGCATGGTTTGTGTTGGATGAATACATGACAGTGAAAACATCTCACTGCACATCACTGTTTTTGTTTGCATCAAGAGGTTCACATATTTATGTCTAAATGTTTGTTATCATGAGAGCAAACTGAATCCGGGGGAACGGAATCAGACAGTGACTTGGGGGTGGTTATTCATGTACGATGAATGTATGTCAAAGCAGAGGATGTCGATATAGCGGTGATGTGAGGTAGCTGCAGTATGCTGTACTGCATGGGCCTGGTCGAAAGTGGTGTCTTGCTCCAGGCATAGCAGAACATTGAAAGCCATGGGAGCTCGCGTCACAGCTACATCAGCTGACCTCGGTCAATGGTGGTGATGCCAGCCGAGACCAAGAGATTTGATTCGAAAAAATCCTCCTAATCATTCAGAGTTTTGTGCTGCCTGGTTTTAGTTATCAGGCAGCACTTGCTGACATAACGTGTGTCTTTCTCAGGGCAAGGACGATATTAGCTCAGAAACTGGCCTGATGGGATGGGCAATTCTTTAAATTTTTCATTTGTGGCATCAGCCACGTTTGAGATCAAAAGGTTTTTTTTTCCTTTCTAGAAATTAAAAGCTTATTTATCATGTATTCCTTTTCATTTCACCTAGCCTGAAATATGAACTGTACAAATGAAAATAAAATATTTTGAAACCAGGAAAAATGTTCCTAACAAGCATTAAGCAACAAATTTGTAGTGCCCCGAAACTAAATCTAATTTTCCTGCCAATACTTTGGTCAAAGTAACTGGCTTGAAATGAACTTCACATTTTTTGGGTAAGGCAGCACGGCTGTGGACTGGTTGGTACGTCCGCTTCACAGGGCAGAGGTGCAGTGTTCCTTTCCGGCCCCGGCCTTCCTGTGTAGAGTTTGCGTGTTCTCCCCGTGCCTGCGTGGGTTTTGTCCGACTACTACGGTTTCCTCCCACATTCCAAAAACATGCATAGCAGGTTAATGGAACACTCTAAATTGGCCCTTGGTGTGATTGTGAGTGCCAATTGTTGTTTCCCTATGTGTGCCCTGCGATTGGCTGCCAGCCAGTTCAGGGTGTATCCCACCTACTGCCTGAAGACGGCTGGGATAGGCTCCAGCATGCACGCCTGTGAACCTTGGTGAGGATAAGCGGATTAGAAAATGGATGTTTTGGGTAAACTGGAGAACATGGAAGTTCAATACGAAAAGGGCCCAAAATTGGATTAAAGCCAGGATGTCCAGCTTTGGGCCTGGAGGGCCACTGTCTTGCATGTTTTCCAGCTCTCCCAGTTGCAGTACACCTGATTCAGATGATCAGCTCATCAGCCAACCCTCAAGCAGCATTAGAACGACCCTGATAATTTGAATCAGGTGTGTTGCTCCTTAGAGAGCTGTAAAATAGGCAGGACAGCGGCCCTTGAGGACCGAGTTTGGACACCCTTGGGTTAAAGGATTCACTCAGGAAGTGTACCCTCTTACAATGAGGCAGTAGAGTGAACAACGCTTTCACCTTACCTTTTGTATTATTGGCATCAATGATATTCAGTCTGCAACAGCAAAGCTGGTGGTTGATTTGAACCTTGGGCCGCTTTCAAGCTAGCAGGTGGAGTAAACCTGTCCGGATTTACCATGGCAACAACATAGAACATAGCTTAATTGGCCATCGTGAATCCAGTTGTGCCATCATAGCTGCAATATTGTGATCAAACTGAGTAACCATCATTGCTAATGTTTCACTCTAAATATGAGTCAGTGGAGTTTATTAGAAATTAAACGTCCTTTTTGTGTGTACACAGGGTAAAGTGTGAACCGTGTTAAGTCGTAAAAAAATATGGACAGCTGAACATGTTTAGTTTTGATAAATTATTTTGTGTTGAATGCAACTTGCTGACTTCATGCTATGTGTAGCAAGTTGATATCAAAAATAGTTTTTAATAATTACACTATTTTGATTGAGGCTGAACCGAGAAAGAAATTCAACAATGATCCATCCATTCATTTTCTGATCCGCTTGATCCTCACAAGGGTCGCAGGATTCAACAATCTACACATTGGAATATTTTAAATAATGTTTCTTTTACTGCAGCATTTCCAACTGTTTGACAATGTCACTACACCCATGTATCCATCCATCCATTTTCCGATCCGCTTTATCCTCACAAGGGTCGCAGGGGGTGCTGGAGCCTATCCCAGCTGTCTTCGGGCAGTAGGCGGGGGACGCCCTGAACCGGTTGCCAGCTAATCACAGATGTATGAACACACATTATACATTTGGTCACAATCAAAACAAGGTGAAACTGGATGTAACAAAAAAAAAAAACATTCCAAGACACTTGCACTACCTAGAAGGAAACAAAAAGATGTTGGATAAAAGGCAAAAAATATTAGATATGTTAGATCAAAAGAAATTAATAAACGTACTCAAATCTAAGAAATATTTAAAAACAAAAATACAAGACAAATAATTCATAATATATGAAAATATACAAAAATTAAATTAGTCTAAAATACAGATATGCAAAACAAACACTGAAACACATTCCATCTGTGAAAATATTGGAAAATATTCCACAAAATATTAGCCAAAAATACGCACTGTAGAAAATAATGCAAAAGTATGACTAAACAGAAACAATATTGATATTACAAACAATTAATCACTGTCAACATCAATTCAGCCCACTGGCTTTTCTCAGTTAATCAAGTGTGAAGACACAATGTGTCTTCACACTTTTGCCTTTTATTAAAATTGTATTCACAAATACTTAAATGACATTTTCACATGTTTCTGTTACTCTAAAATAGCCTTTATGTGAGCAGAAAAACACAAGAAGAATTAATCACTCAGCCTTCATTTTTTTTTTTTTTTTTTTGGCCAAAGTGGTGACTGTTTGGACATATTGAATGCAGGACTTATCCATTTTAAATAACATTGATGAAGACGAGTATGAGCTGTCAAAAGTCATTTGGGGACTGCTCGTGATTGATCTATCTATCTATTGATCGATCTATCCATCTAGCTAGCTAGCTATAAAGATGAAAGTCTTCTGGACTTTCCTGAAATTCCGGATTTTCAAATGTTCATGAACTTTCACCTCGAAAATTGAGGAAAAATTGCCTAAAATTAATCCGGATATTATTTGACAACATTGAACGAACACGCCTTTTTTTGTTTTGCTTTCACGAGCGTAGCCATAAGCTAGCTAGCTAGCTATTATTGACATGTATTTATTTTTCATGAGTACATTTCCCAGACATTGTATTTTGTTCATTCCTCAGTGACCAACAGGACCCACCAAGTGAGAAATAGATCATGGCCGGACCATGTGCACTGGATGACACCTTTGATGATGGTGTCTGCTCTGCTGCTTGCTGTACTTATACACTGGAGGTGGGTAACGCCAACACTTGGTGACTATGTTCATATTATTGAAATCGAAAGGAGGGGGGGGGGGCAAAAACTTGTGCTTGTTGGACGATGCATTTGTGAGGACACACATTGTTTATTTGGTAAGTGTTCAAAAGGAGAGCAAATGTTCAACATTTATTAAGCACCTACACGCTAAAAAATGCTGGGTTGTTTTCCGAACCGGCTCTCTGGCTTGCTGTGAGTTTTGAGCAGATTGGGTTACTTTTACTCAAGATTGGGTGAATTATTTTAACCCAGCAGAAGGGGTTAAGGATTGGAGTTGGGTAGGCTCAAGAGTCGAAACTGGCTGGCATCTTTTGTGTACTGAAGTTGAAATAAGTGTAGTGTAGCATATCCCGATTCCTGGCCACTACCTTTCCTGACACAATGGTATCTGGTGTGAAAAGTGTGCCAAGCATGTTTGAATTATTTTAACCCAGCAGAAGGGGTTAAGGATTGGAGTTGGGTAGGCTCAAGAGTCGAAACTGGCTGGCATCTTTTGTGTACTGAAGTTGAAATAAGTGTAGTGTAGCATATCCCGATTCCTGGCCACTACCTTTCCTGACACAATGGTATCTGGTGTGAAAAGTGTGCCAAGCATGTCATCTGAATTAGTAAATTAAATTTTCTATTCTAGAAAATGTTACTAATACAGGCTGTGTTACTATTAACCGCAGCCAAACTGATAACCTCGTAATTTCTTGATAGCTTGAACTCATCAGCATTTGTATTTTCCCTCCTTTGATCAAAATCTTGACCCAACGTGCTGGGTCAAATCTGCAACCCATTGTGTTGGGTATAAATAATCCAGTTTTGACTTGCTCCATTTTAGACCCAATGCTGGGTTATTATCTGTTTTACACAATTACTGTTCACCCAGCAGTTTTGATGGTGCCAGTATTTCTGAGCTCATCTGTCTCTCGCAAATTTCCAACTCGTTGAGTCAGAGTGAAGCGAAAAAAAAAAGATTCATGCTAAAATTGTCACTGAAAATAGCAACTTGTTGGAATGTTACGATGCCGACAGTATTTGAAGCTGTCCACACACTATTTGAGCGAGGCCTCTCACTCATGTATGAAGGAGCAGATTTGCTTCTATTCTAATCAATCCAGCTGTCTGCACAGGTCATGTATCGACTTATGTTTCACTCACGCTTAATGTGTGACCTCAAGCTTATTTTTAGGCTTCAAGTCTACTTTCCTTAGTTTTGCCTGATAAATACAGTGGCTGAGCATTAATTTTCAGCAATACTGTTCACTACAAGTTATCAATGTTAGATATTAATACATTTTAAATAATTAATTAAGCATTCTTGTCAAACGTCCTTTTAGGGGCTGGGTGATTGCCGGTATACAAAAACGTATTTTCGGTGCCAGACCTAACTCAATAAAACTTGTGATCTTGTTTTACTTCACCCGAATAAATACATTTACATGAAGGTAAAACTGACAGGTTATTCCAAATTTATAGTTTGTTTGTTTTTTTAATGCGACGTGTAAATATCTGTAATTCTGACGGATTACTTACATAGTTTTACGTTCATCCAAAGTTTTT